ATTGTTTAGCTTGTTCACCCATCTATCCGTCCCTATACCCATGTTTGCTTTCACTGACAACTCAGTACTGTATATGCAAAGGGGTTCCAGACGTTTGTTTTTTAAAACAGCTTTATTGAGACATAGTTCACACACCATGGAAGTCACTCATCGAAAGCATACCATTCACTGGATTTTAGTATAGTCACAGTTTTCCAGCCATCACCACAATATAGCGTTAAAACATTCTCCTCACCCCAAAAAGAAAGCGTGTCCCCTTGAGCAGATTCTCCTCATTGTCCCTCCCCCCAGTGCCTAGCAACCATGAACCTACTCTGTCTTTATGGATCTGCCTGCTCTGGCTATTTATGTAATGGGGTCACACAGTATGTGGTCATTGACGTCTGGCCTCCTACAGTCACCAAAACGTTTTCAGGGTTCATCCACATCATAGCACATTTCATGACTTCATTCTTTTCTGTGCTGAACAATATGCCCTTGTGTGGTGTGTCAAATTCTGCTGATCCATTCATCAATGGCCAGCCATTTGGTTCAGTTCCACTGTTTGGCTGTTAAGAATAATGCCACTATGAACATTCATATAAAAGTTTTTGTGGAAATGTATATTTTTGACTCTCCAGTAGTGGAATTACTGGGCATATGGTAACTCTATGCGTAACTTTTTAAAGAACTGCCAGGCTCTTCTCCAGAGTGGCTTTACCACTTCATGTCATGGACATTTTACTATGCTTTTATCATTGCTTCCTGATTATAAAATAGCATCCCATTAATACTAACGAATAATAATGCAGAACCATGTAATACTGAACAGGAAGTATCCCTGAAGTCCTCCTCTTCAGAGAAAGCCCCTAGTATCTTGCTGGTGTCAAAAATAAACCGCTCAGAGCACTGTTGATAGAGTCCTGTGCAGGCTTAGTAGACAGCCTTAAAGCTGGACAGCATGTCATTACCAAGCACATCACTGCCCCGATCAATGAAGGTTTCCAGGGACTTACACATAATTCCATCAGGAACTTTGAACAAAAAATTTTGATTGGTTGACAATTCTGTCGGAATACATAACTGTTGTAAGAGAGCAGCATGTGGTCAAACATTATCAAAACTTACTAGGAAGCATACTAAGATCCCTGAGCCTAATTGTGGGACTATGGCTGGAGACCTAGCAACAGGACGTGTTCATTGACCTGCGATTGTTTTCTGAAATAATACGTTTTAAGCATTTCAGTGAGCCTGATCACCTACATACAGTTACGTGAAACAAGACAAAAACCAAAAACCAAACCCACTGCCATCAAGTCAATTCT